GATTATGCACTGTGCTTCTGCAATATTTTTATGTCCTTAACACCTATCATAAATCATATAGGAACAGAATACTTGCAAATATATAAATGTCCTTATCAGGGGGGGAAAGGCCTTTTGTTTCTATCACAGTCAGACTCAGGTTAGTTGGCAGAGTGAATGGCAGAACATAAAATATGAAAGGTTGAAAACTACTGCTTTAAGAACTGATTCCATAAGAATATAAAGGATTATGATTACCTGAAGGTTCAAAGTGAGATGAATGTTTACAGGGTAGATTAACCTACTAATGATTCATATGGTTTGAGTGCAAAAGGTTAAGGGTATAAACAAAAAACATACACTCTGTGAACATTTCTTCTGAAGGTGTTCTAGCAAGCACAAGGCATAGATGGGATTTACAACAGGTAGGCATTCTCACAGCAGCTCCAAGCCTGGAGCAGTCTGCCCCAGACTTGCAGGTTTTGGCTGAAAGAAAAGGTGATTTTTCAATAAGCTACAGAAGCCTTGGAGACTTTTGACCAGCCTGCAGGTTGCACAGAGTCCAAGCCTAGTTATGCCTAGGATGGCATTTTGTTGGAGCAGAGTCTAGGCAATGACAGCGGAAAAGGCTTATGAATAATACACATTTAGAGGTATCCATTAAATCTTACATATAGCTACCTGAATAACGTTTGCACTATTTTGCTAAACGTTTCCCCATTTTTAGTAAAATCTCCTCTGCAAGCTGTACATGACCTTCAAAGGTTAACTACGAAAAAACACCAGGAGGTACATTTCATTAAAATCGTTTTAGGCAGACCTCGTTCTGAGCTTGTCAACAGGCAAAGTGCATAGCAAAAGTGTTCTGTTTTTAAATTGGCTGTTCTTCCAAGTAGGTTTCTTCTTACATGGTTTTAATAGCTATTGGGCTGAAGGGGGGGGGAGGATATTACCTGTGAGGGGAAAAATGATGGATCAATAGAACCGTGTGATCTTTTCCCAATAGTCACACAGTTGATCAATAATTGCTTCAGTGTCTCCTTCATCTCTGAAGACAGTTTGTTTAACCAAACCTAAACATTAAAAAAAAAAAAATCAGACCAATGTCACAAATAATAAACGAACACTTTTTTTCCTCAAACGTTTTTTATAACTTGGAACTTACACTCTTACCTCAACATCATTCGACAGGAGGATTTTATTTTTGAAAGGTACAACTTCGCCCTCTAAGGATTTCATCGCGAGTATGTGTTTAAAATCATCATCAAAGCTTACACTGTGAATGCCTGTTAATTAAAGTAGGACAGTATTTACAACTGAGTATGTGATCCTATAGCAAGATGGTTACAGAGTGACAGCACTGGTCAGAGCCTCTCCTACAATTTTTGGTTTTCTTCTTTGTCTGAATACTCAGAATATCCAAAACTTGCCAAGCCTTCACAGACAGTTGTTTTTTTTTCTAAGAGATTCCAGCTAGCTGTGGGATGTTTATTCAGCCTTGAAGTAAGGTATTACATTGAAAATACAGATATGACTTGGCAGGCTGGGAGAATCTTGGTGTCTCAGGATTTTACTGTTCACAGGCCAGGTGTAAGGCACTGGCTGTTAGACAGTGAGAGGCTATTATTTTCCCTCATTACTTTAACTGAGTATGTAAGTTTATTGACAATTTCATTAACAGTTACTAATAGGCCTGAATAAAAGGGCATGGAATTTGCAAAAAGCATAATTCTGGGGAGAAAAGTTTTGTAGAAGCAAAGATTGCAATTTTCCAATATGCAGAATGTCCCTAAAAGATATATTAAATTAAAATCTCTAAGGGAAGGTTATTGTCACCAAAGATGATATAAAAGTCTTCAATTCCTAGAAACCAATAAAATACCTCTCCCAGTGCTCCCTGCACTTAAATGGACAAATACAAGCTTCTTAACAATTTTTCCTCATCCATTGCAGGCAACTCATATTAATCTCCAGTCTATCAGATAGGGAATTGTTTGTACACTGGAAGCTGATTCTAATGCCCAAATATGTGGGCATAAAACCTTTGTGGATTTATTTTAAATGCTGGGCAACTACCACATGTGTGCAAGCTCAAGAGCCTTGTATTGATATTAAACCTCTTTAATTGTTGCACTGGGATGGATCCCAGCTTACCAGCAAAAAGTTTCTTAAGGTGAGACTGGATAACAGACGGATTAGTGGACTGTCCCAAGATTTCTAGAAGATCATCATCCCCAATGAAATAGAATCTAGGGAATGCTGAACGCTTTTCCTGTTAAGGAAAAAAAAAAGGAATAAGATGTGTTATGTTTCAGCTGGGAGATAGGACTCTATGCTTTTAGGAACTACTACATTAAAAGTGGAAATGTTACCTCCAAAAATTCATTTAAGGATTTCTGGCATCTTTGAAGTTGGTCAAGAATAGTCACCAAGGCATTTCTTATTCCTGCTCGAGAGTTCAGGGATATTATTCGGTTGTCCTGCTTGATATCAGCCAATATTGATCTTTAAAAAAACCACCATGGTGTAAAAATATGTAATTATATGCTTTTTTAGCCTAAAGGGTCAAATGCCAGCAATAATTAACTATATTGCTATAAAACTGTGAATTCAGTCCCATAATGTTAAAACACATTAATTTCTTTTAATTGTTTACTTTATTTATACCCCAGTTTTCTCTCCCACAGATCCCAAATGGCTTACATCCGTCTACTCTCCTTCATAGTATTCTCACAACAGGCATATTATTCTTCTGAGAATAATGAGATTAATTTGAGTGCAAAATAATACCAACCTAAAGTCTTCATCTACTCTGTTGAAACGGCCTTGTTCTCTTGGTAAAGCTCCACGACCAAAAATGGGTTCCAAGTAGACCCACTTCCTCTGAATTTGGTTTAAATTCTGCAGGTACTCATCCAACTCAGCAAGCTTCTTCTCCCAAACAAAAACTTTATCTTGAAAACCTCTATAATACGGAGAATCCTTTAGTGACTGAAGAAGGCAGCGATTATCGCCCACCTGATTGACGATATCTTTCCAGTCCTTAATTAGTTTTATCATCCGACTGTGGCTGTCTTCATAATCTGTCAATGTAAAGATGGCACCGACTCCCCAGAGTTCAAGTTCACGCAAGGCTTCTCTAATACTGACCTCACCATGAGCCCGGCTGTTCAAATCCTGTTTTAATGCAGAAATGACATATTTTTAACCAAAGGATTACACCAAAAGAAAGAGGGATTTTGGACGGTTAGGAAATGCAGTGTAAAAATCAGTACAATATAGGGACATGAATTTGTGCATGCACACAAAAGCTGATATCCTGCCACAAATTTTGTTAGTCTTTATGATGCTATTGGACTCTTGCGGTTACCCATCTCAGATATTTCCTTATTGATTTTTTATACGTTCATATCCAGAGTGATAGTTGGGTTTTCTGGAATACCAGCAATTGGGTCCCAAATTTTTTGAAAATGCAGGAATATTTGGGGCCAGGATTTTATGGCTCAAGCCGCTGCACTGCCATGATCCCTTCTTGGGCCTGCAGGCCAAGGAAGCCCATGCTGCCACTACCGCCTCCTGGCCGCTGCGGCATCGCCATGATGGGCCTTGGCCTCTAGACCCTTCACCTGCCAGTATTCCTTCTCACAATGTGGGTTCTAGAAAACTGGTTCATATGAACTTGCTTAATATCTGATTGCTTGAATGGTGTTTTGAATATGTAGTTATGTCCCAGTTCTAAAATGTAACATAAATGAGAAGCATTTTTGTAAAAAAAGGGGGGGGAGTGCCCTCTCCCCAAATTTAATGCCCAGGCCAAACCCCTGCACCAAGAAACCCAAAATAAGGGAGTGCATTCCTACCATGACGTCAATCCCCCCCCCCCCCCCCAAGAAATTTCTGAAAACAAAGACCCCCTTTTGACTACTTCTTAAATGGACAGTTCTATGTGGCCTGCTCCAGAGTGAGCTCATCAAGCAGCCTGGTGATCCTAGCACCTGAGGGCAGAACCACCAATATGGTCTAGAGAGAGGTCTTTCAGTACAGAAAAAAAAAAAAAAGGATGTATGTCTCCCTTCATTTCTTACACTACAGTCTTCTCTGTTAGAATTCCTACAACAAATGTCACATTTCAAATTTCAGTCATCAGTATTATAACTGGATTTACGGAACTTAAAATACCATAGCGAAGCACGGGTATCAGGCTAGTACTACATATATGTTTATTGTTGCCATGCAAGATGGAAGCTCATGAAAATCAGCCATGTTTCAATGTTGTGTTTTCTTATATTTGTAAACTACAATGAAATACAGATGTGTGACCTTCTGTGACACAAAAATACAGAACTATCCAATGCTACCAAAGTGTTTGAAAATCAAACTAATAACTTCTCCAAATAATTTTCAGGTTCACAGCATGGATCTTCAAAAACTGTCTCCCAATCTGAGATCAAATCATGAAGATATGGTTGATGCAACAGAAAGAAAACATGCACATGTGCTGGGAACAGAAATGAGGCCTATGTCACAGTAATCTTAATACATCTAAACTGAAGATTATTTTACAGACCGAGATAAACCACACTGAAAATCTGAGGATATTCTATAACAGGCAACTAAACTACTAAGAAGTGACCTGGACTAAGACTCTGAAAGTTACCTTAAGTTCCGCTGCTCTTTCCACAATGACATCTGCTACTTTTAACAGATCTCCAAACAACAGGTTCTCTAGGCTCGTGCCCCTAGGAAGACCAAGAATCCGAAAGAGGTCCAGCCAATGATCTGAAGAGAGGTGTTCTCCTCTAACGTATTTCAGGACAGGAAGTGCCATCTGTGACAAAAAATAAAATAATCTCTGAATATACCTAGATAGACATAAGTAGATTATTATTACATTATGATACCATGAATAAATTTTAAAATTCCCTAATATGCACTAGTAACATCTAATTTAATACTACTACTTTTGTAATAATAATCTTATTTCACTTTTAAGCAAAGCAAGGTGTGCAAATATTTTGAAAGAGTTACTTCAATGAGCCATGCTAAAGTAAAAAAAATATTTACACTGACATGTTGGTTTTAAATTATGGTACTTTAACAATAAATTTGTTAAACCACTATGAGCCACAGGAAAGGTAGGATATAAATATGTTACTAAGTAAATTATTATATTCTAAAGTCTGGAATGGATCTCAAAAATCATATAACTGTGTGGATGAAGGCATAATTCATTAGGTTTGATCATGTCAGCTTTCTGCTTGGTAAGAGGTGAATCTCACCTATTTTCATTTCTCACTGTAACCTTCCCCAATCCCATGCACCTTTTAGCCTGGATCTCTGACACCGCTTTTTCAGGGATTAAAAAGGGGCTGCTGAGAGAAGGGGAAATAATCTGCTTCTGCCAGAGGAAAAGCTGGCAGGATTCAACCCATTATATATCTAGTCAATCTCTCTCACAAATATCTAGCAGATGTCTTTTCAGATGCTTCCAAGCATTGTAATTTCTATTGGCTTTATTTTGCTTTCTTATTAAAGGATCTTACTTTGTACTTATCAACTTCTTTTTGTAGCTTCACGGTCATTATAGTGTGCTCTTCAATCTTCCTCAGTTTGTCGTGCCAGCTTAGTAAAAATTCCTCAAATAAATAGGTTTTGCTCCTGCATGAAATATAAATGTAAGCAAGTTCATCACGACACAAGTACTGTCACAAAGGAGTAATATACACAATAGTCTGGAAACAAAGTCAGACCTAAACGTAATCCAGTCTTCATTGGCTTTTTCTTGGAAGCCTTCATAGAATTGTTCATACAGTGCCCAAACTTCTGCACAAGTATCGATGTCTCGGCGTACTTCATCAGCCAAAAGGAAATCAGGCTCTTCTAATTCAAAGTGATGACAGTCATTGCTGAAGAAGGAAACTGTACTGATAAAACTGTACTAGAAATAAGAGCCGATACACTTTTCCATTAGAGAGCGCACAGGGGATTAGATGGATCCCAAACTACCACTAATCACCTTTATACGATCATGCGCTAAAGAATGCAATGGTCCCTTTTTAAAAATAATTGAAAATAATCTGATTACTCCTTGGGCATATGAAAAATTCAAAACTGCTGTAAATGTATACACTATGGATATGTACACAAAGACCCCATATACTCAAAGGTAATGAGAATTTCATTCCATAACTATCTGTTGAAAAGGATGCTAATACATGTCTTGTAATTTAACTCTAGATTAGTTACAGAATCCTGCTTCTTTCTCCCTCAGTTGATCAGCAAGTATACGGGATGGAAACAGATGTGCCAGCATTACTCTGCTTCACCATGGCTTCCCCTACATAAGATGAAATTATTTTCGCCCTGAATGACACCCTCCTGATATTGCACTATAGCATGAACTTTCCAGGCTCAACAGGGTTCCCCCCCCCTCCTTTGGCCTGAATTAAGTATTGGAATGAGGGATTTTTATTTATTTGGTATTTTTTGCATTTTTGTGTGTGTGCGTGTGTGTATGTGTGCACCCATGCCTGGAAGTCATGGCGACCTCTAGGGACTCCTACTGGAGCATGGAGAACATTCAGAAAAGTGGCTTGATAGCCTGCCTCTGCCTCCCGGCCCAGGTATTCCTAGGAGGTCTCCAATTCAAATACTTGCCAGGGTCGGCCCTGCTTAACTTCGGAGAACTGATGAGGTCGGACATGCCTGGACTATCCAGGTCAGGACAGGAATGAGGGACTTTCACTTACTGTTTACTGTTACTGTTTACAGATGCCACGTGCATTAATCGAATGTAGTGACCACTGGTGAGCAGCCTGAAGCATTTCTTGAATGAAAAACAGGTTGCTTACCTGTAACTGGTGATCTTCGAGTGGTTATCTGTGCATTCACACCCATGGGATCTAGTGCGCACGCGCTGGATCGATCGGCATTGTAGCAAGCTCTTTTAACGGATTTTCACGCCCAGACACCCCACCGCGCATGCCCAGAGGGGAGGGCGTGGACATCCCGCCAGTTCCTTCAGACCACCGCAAATCAACCCCTATTGAAAATGTAGAAGCTGACAGCAGCGGGGAAGGAGGGCGGGTGGTGTGAATGCACAGATGACCACTCGAAGATCACCAGTTACAGGTAAGCAACCTGTTTATCTTCGACGTGGTCTCTGTGCTTCACACCCATGGGAGATTAGCGAGCAGTGGCCTACCTGGAGGAGGGTGCTGGCAGGTCCTTCACTGCGTAGCCGAAGACAGAATGTGATGTCCCATGTTGGTATTCGCATTCTTACAGATG